AAATATGATTAGGTTATTGTTAAATTGTAGGAGGGTTCTGGGAATGGTTAAAAAATGATTACCTAATTTGGTCTTCAAAGTGCAAAGAAAAAAAAAACGTTGTAACTAAATTCTGAAACCTGATTACGCATCTACAGGATATTCCCAAACACTTTTCAAAATTTAAATGGGCTACGGCGAAAACTGTATAGTCGTTACGGAAACCAGGTTTTTTTTTCGGGGAAACGAAATATTTGGATCTAAAACCTTATTGCGTATCTACAGGACAATCCTAATCACAGAGGCACTGTGGACACTGAGCTCACTAAATGATATCCTCGACTTCCATATAGTTACCGCGGTATAATGAAGAATTCCAGCTTTCCTCAGATCAAAAAGTAAAATACGAGATGCACATTGACATTATTTAACAAAGAATTTGTGAAAGCATCATTAGATTTTATTTACTGATATAGGAGGAGAGTTGCGGATAAGAGAAGGATTCTATTCAGTATTATAGAAAAAATGAAAGTTTTCATGTTTTCAATAGGAAATCCAAAATATGTGTACGATCAAAAAGTAGAATAGGAGATGCACAAAGACCCTATGTAACAAAGATTCTGTGAAATTTCCATTACGTATCATTCAGTGGTACAAGAGGAGTTCATGCGGATAGAAGATGGGTATCCAAAGCGTAACAGATCACTATATACCATCCCACTTTTCAATCGGGGTATAAAAATAAGTCATGATAGGTTAGAAAATACTACCGAAATCTTTGTTCCAGCCTCTTTTAATTTTGTTTTCCAAAAGGAAAAAATAGACTCCCGAAAGAGAGGGTTGTATTCAACACTCATTCAAGTAACACTGATATAAAAGATATTTATAGATAAATTAACTAACAAATATTTCAAACGAATGAATTTTTAGTGTGTAAAAATGTAGGAGGTAATTAGAGGTCTACTAGTTAGAGTTCGTAGTTTTTCTTGCTTTATCGATAATTAGTTTATTTAATAAAATATATGATGCACTGAAATTTATGAAGATAACGATCAGTATTCAATCTCAAAAGTCAATATAAACAATACAAATCAGGAGTGGAGCAAACATGAACAAGTGCACGTGGGATCAGTTGCAATGGAAGAGTGAGCATCTCCTGCCGGTCGATGATACCCTTTGTATGCTTTTTGCCATGATTGGAAAATATAGGGAAAATCCGTGATTAAAAAAGTGTGTAAGTAATGGCCTAATAATTCGTATGTTAAACGTCAGTCAGCATTTGCTTTAAAGAGATACATTGTATTAACTATAACAAGACCATTGTATCGACCATAAAACTTACGAAATAATGACTTAATATTCTCGTTTCATCAACTTGTTTGTGTATAACCTCGTTTTAGAAATTGTTCATACGTAGAACACGGCCTTGCATATCGAATCAACTGAGAGATATGCAGGCAATAAGGGCATATTGTTTCATTAGTTTACATTTTAGTGAGGAGTAAAGAAAGAGTCTAGCTAGAGCATATATTTGAATCCGTTGCGTATTTTTGGTCAAGATTTTTATGAAGTTTTGGAATCTATTTTAGATACTAGTATATGGTACATGTAATTCAAATTCATTTTAATTTTAGGAATAAAATGTGGCAAAACATTATTTAAAGAAAGTTACACCTACATGTATCTTTTACATTTATAAACTTAATATATTGTCCGACCTTATAGTACCCAAGATTGCTATCACACTAAGTAACTGAATACAGACAAGGTCGTAAAACATTTCTTTATCGATAATGAACATTTTCATTCGTGATGACTCCGACTTCTGAAATGTTAAAATTGAATATATCAGATGTGTAAACCACATCGCTCAGGGGAAATTACTATCAACCGTTAACAACCACGTTGATGAGGTATTTTAGGAATACACTGATAACTTATGATAAACCATGTTTGTCCAGCAGATGATTCATTTTCTATCTTAAAAGCAAGACTTCTTTTGAACACTGGACAAGGAAAAAATGAAGATAACAAATGGTGATCAATTTAATAAATATAGTAAACAGAACAAATAATGAACAGGATATATAAAGCACGAACGTCTGGAACACGAGAGGTGGGATCAGGTAATCAAAGAGAAGCAAGCATCCCCTGTCGATCGTTTAAACCTGTCGTTAGCGCCCTCTGTATTAATCAGGTAAAAGAATACAAATCTAGGTTTCGTGCAGATGTCAACTTTGATAGTTGACAGAAGTCAAAGATTTTTTTTAAATGAACTTTTGATGGTAAAAATATGGCTAAATTAATCCACAAGGGCGAGCAACTCTTTATGCGAAATAAGTATACATTTCATTTCTTTAAATAACGCAATAGTCTAATTCTCCGATCTATCATTATTGTTATCGGAGAGCTACATTTCCGCATCAAAGTCCGTATTATATGCATTACATACCTCGTATGTAGGTGTATATTTTTTTTATATATTCCTACGGCCATCGGAATATATTTTTTATCAAACGAGGTTTTCAAAATGGCTAAGTCGAAAAAATGCCCTACAGATCCACCTAAATTACTTTTTTATAGGGGGAAAACACGTTCAGTTTAAACAAACTGAAGTATCCTTAATACAATAAAAAAAAATACAATTCCTTCTACCAAAAAAGGTTTACATGATTTTGTGGAAGTAAAACATCTTAGGTATTATTTTCCCAAATTTTGTTTAAAAAAAAAATCTATAAAATCTGAGATATTGGCTTCAAAGCAACGAATAATTCAAAACATTAAAGAATTGAATTAGCAAATGGATTTGCATTATTTTGGCAGCTGCAAAGTTGGTAAACGACTCTGCAATAGCCAATATGAATATTTTCCCCTGTGGTCAGTAATTGTAAAAAAATAAAAATGGGAAATGACTAATCAGTTAATTGTTACATATGGTATTGTAATGAGATAGTTTATATGTACTTAATCCATTATATCATGAGGGAAAATATGATAGAAGCAGTTTTTAATTTGACGTCCTTGGAAACTGGATCCTTCAATGAGATTTTAACCATTTGATGGAGTAAATGTTGCCCTTTTTTTGGTTTCATAGAATATATGGAGTTTTTTTTTTAATACAACTGTGTCAAGATGAAATTTGTGTTTCGAAGGCATTTTTTAAAAGCATGAATGTTGAGGAGTTGGCATTTCGATTTTCGAATTGCTTCTGATTATACATTTATATAACTATTGTTTGAATGAATATGGTGAACGTGTCGATTAGCGAATGAGAATAAACACCATTGTTTTACGTGGCAATCTATTGACGGAATCAAATTACAATTTTACAAACAGTACACTCTGTAATTAATCTTATAATAAATAAAGTTACTTGATCTTTTATAAAATATAATGAAATAAGATGATACAGTACGGAACAAACGACCAGCAATTACCTTTGTATATCTCAACAGCACTTAACATTACAATATCAAATGAACAGGTCTAACATTGAGAGCCTGTACATCCGTTTCATATTTGGATACTTAAAGATGCACAGACACAGATTTAAAATTAACATTTTCTCAAATTTTCTGTATAACATTACGACTTATATATTACAACAGCAAATATATATAATAAATATCTTTTTCATCTCGAAGTTATTGAAACTTCGAATTTCTGGACGGATTTGATTGACACGTCCTTGCACTTTCAAAAACTATAACTGTATTCTTAATACTTAACAAAAGTGGCAATTTTGTTGTATATTAATGAAAAATATTATAACTATAATCTAAAAAAATCAGAGTAAAAATATTCGAAATGAAAACATACTCACAGTATATTGTCAGTCCGTACTCAGTGATGGTGTGCAGACTTTAACAATTAAACACACCCGATGAATCATAAACAAATAACAAAAATAGAGCTCATGCCCATGGGCCAATGTTAACAAAAAAAAAAAAAAAAAAAAAAAAAAAAAAAAACAAAAAAAAAAAAAAAAAAAAAAAAAAAAAAAAAAAAAAAAAAAAAAAAAAAAAAAAAAAAAAAAAAAAAAAAAAGTTTGTACAAAACACTGAGCACGGACTAACGACACTAGTGAGGTGTTTTACTTTGGAAATTTTCTACTCTGAATTTTCTTTCTCAGTTGATTCGATACGCAAGAGCACTCTCTACGTATGATTAATATTTAAAATGAAGTAAGTTATTGACAAACTACTTAATGAAGTAAGAATTTTTTTCCCAATCATGACAAGGAGCACACGGAGGGTGTGAATGGTCAGTAGGGGATGTTCACTCCTCCACGGCACACGATCCAGCCTTTGATGTTTTTATAGGTCCGTGTTTGGTGATCGATCGTTTGTTTAATGGACTTTTGAGCTTGAATACTGTTCGTTCATCATTAAGTTCCCATGTACCTATGTACCTCTAATGTTTTCAGTATTTACTTTGCACCCTGTCTGAATTGTTTAAATGAAATTCTGTGCTTGTTTACCGTTCGTTATCTCTATATTTCATTGCGTAACAACATCTGCACTACTGTTGAGCTCAAAAATATTATCACATATTTTTTGTACAATAAAATTTATTTACTTTTCTGAAACTTTAATGGAACATTATTTAAACCTAAAAAATATAACATTTGTTCTTTTGAAACGCAGTTGTACATATTAAGTAACCTTCAAAACTGTAAAAAAAAAAAAAAAAAAAAAAAAAAAAAATTCAATTTAAATGGAAAATGAACAAGGTTCAAATGGCTATCAGCTATGAATACATCAAACGATCTAAATTGTCCAACTTTGATTCACGTTAAAATTATGATTTTGTTCGTCAGTCTTATTCGATCATAACTGGGGTCATAGTAAGTTCATGTTGTGCCTCAATGGTCACAGATGAAATGATGACAGCAGAAATATTTAAACCAAAATAAGGTATTCAGGATACTTCTTAAAGTTTTGCTGGTATTTTTTATCTTCCTGCTAGCAATCTTGTATCCGCTTTCAATTTGACTTTTTTTAAAAAAGGGGATCAAATTTAGGCAATCGATAATATGAAGTGCCCTCCAATATGCATGTACACGGATATAGATGCGTGATTTCTCATTGAATCGTTTCGTAATCGGAAGCAATATCCCGTTGTGGTTTAACCCTAGTGTACATTCAGGGTAACGTCTTTCACAAAGGATATTTGGTACAAGTTGCATTAACAAGTACGTACTTCCTCGATGAAAAGTGAACACATTTTACCTTATTTAATGATGAATTCAAAGTAGAACCACATTTTAGCCATGAGGACTTTGGATTGCTTCAAAGGAATACTCAAAGACCGCGATCCAAGCAACCTTTCAGTAGAAAACATCAATGCTGAGCTACTGGATCGAAACTGGTCTGGAGTTATTTTTCTAACCATTCTTTTAGTTATTGGGGTCTGTGGAAATGTGACTGTTTTACTAACGTACGGACTGAAGTTCAAGCGAGGAACCAATTACCGCTTTTATGTACTGTTTCTTGCCATGTTGGACACCGGGAACTGCATCATCGGAATACCTTGGTGTTTAGTGTACATGTTACGTCCTCTGACGTTTCCCTCGGACGTATTTTGTCGTGGCGGACTGTTTGTGAGTTTTGTGTTGTCTGTGACAGGTGCAGGAGGGCTGGTGCTCATTGCCTTTGACAGATACCGAAAAATATGTTGGCCCCTGAAGAAACAGATTAATATAAAAAATGCCAAGCGCAGTGTTCTTGTAATTATTGTGATATCTGTACTTTCAACATGGTTTACGCCATTTTTGTACGAACTTAATAAACTTCCCCTTTCTGCCACCGGGGAGAATGGCTATAAGTGTTTTCTTGCAACAAATTCTATAGCCAATTCCCTTTCAAAGGGATTTTATATTATTCTCGGTATGGTGTTTCTAACAATAAGTACCACCTTAACAATTCTATATTATTTTATCATGAAGAAAGTGAAGACTCATTCAAAAAGTTTTTATAATAAAAAATCCAAATCAAATAACAACGATACCTTTGGTCGTCGAACTTCAAACTTACATACCCGGAAAACCACCTTAACTTTCTGTATGATCACTACTGTATATATTTTGACAACCCTGCCTCACATTGTGGGTGGTCTTGTGTTTCACTTTGACGAATATCTAGAGTGCAGGATGAGTTCCATAACTCACAATGTTTTCTACTTCTTCTACTGGACTGTGTACATAAATAACGTTGCTAACCCTTTCATTTACGGTCTCTCTGATGAGAGATTCAGGGGGATCATAAGATACGTGATAACGTACGCTGTTCTCTCCCCTTTCAAGGCTTCCAAGAAGAGACTACCATCTGCATCCTTCTCTGTTTCAATTGATAACAATGATCAAAAGAATAAAATTGAAGCCGAAAATGACATTCATAACAAAAATGCCGACGCAATTAGTGTTGTGTCTAAAGAATTTGCAATAAAAACAAACGGAGATGACGTTGACAACGTATATAAAGCAAACACGGAACAGGTGACACAATAAATATTTACAATGTAGCTGTAAAAGAAATTATTTTATGCAGTCAGCAAGACTAGTTTAAATATAGTTCAGCGATTTATGTGATTTTTAAGCTTAGTGCCAAACAATATGAATTGTACATAAAAGTTTGATTTGATGTGAATGAAAATAAATTCAAGTCACATGCCTGTAACTTCCTTGTAATTTTTGGCAGTTTTTTTCTTGGTGCATCTAAGTACTCAGAGAATATACACAAGAATATACTTCCGAGTTCCTATAGAACTCATTGTCAGTATACAGTGTAAATATATTGAATGAAGAAACACGCTAGAAAACACCTTTGTAGCGATATATAACTGGGAGGGGGCCTTTTCACAAGCATCTTTCAGTTCAGCATTATTGTGTTAAGAAAAAAGAGGATCAGTTGTCTTCGAACTTTTTTGTATTGTAAATATAAATAAACTTGACAATGTTTTTTTTAAATAATCGGGAAAATGGTTTAGATAAGTAAAATAAATCATATTAACAGCAAAAATGTCAATTCTTCATTCATGATTTCAGTTAAAATACTTTTTTGTAATATCCTGCGAAGTGATATTTAGCTGTATAGGTTTATAATTAAAGGTAAAGAAAAATGTCGAATTTATTCTAAAGATATTGGAAAGTTCACAATTTATTGATCAGATAATTCAGAAAAATAATATCTGTGTACTTGTTCCTCTGGCACTACTAATTGTAATCTATTACGTTATGTCACCGATAACCTGTGGAGGAAGTTGGAATCTTTATTTCAAAAGCAAATCTAAAATACTGTAAAAGCTGTAACAGTTAATTTGGGAATGTATCGTGACTCCCACAAATGTTCATATTTCATGTTTCGTGGCTGGGAAAACTAGTTTTATGCAATGATAATGCATGGGTTAAACTATAAAATAGATTTCAGGCAATAATGTTAATAGCTATGAACAATTTGTACATTTTGCATAGGAGTGTATTACATGTTTTACGATTTTCAGCAATAATTTATCAGAATATTTATTTGTCTGTGAACTTTTAAATATATTAAAAAGACTAGTTTATAGAGAACCTTGTTAATAGATGTTCGTTAATCATCTACCACGTTGAGAGTGGCGAGCGTAAGTTCCGATGACGAATGTACATGATCAAGACTACATGTTCTAGAATATATTACACATGTACAAGTGCACTCCATACGTTATGCAAAATAATCACGTGATATTACATAATTATACATGGGTTTTCTATTTTCTAATCCAAATATTTTAATATTTTCCTTTTTTAAAAAATAAGATTTCGTCAAAGTTCAACATGTCCAAAAAATTATTTTTACAATAGCTCCAAAACTATGTGAGCTATAAAGTTGAAACTTTTACAGTTTATAAATATATCATTGATTAACAGATAGACAGTACCACTTGATAAAAAATACTTAATTAGAACAAAATATTTATTGAGAAAAATTATTCTTTTTAAAAATGCATATAGTTTTGAAAAATATACCTAATTATTTCCGTGCTTTTAGTGAAAGCCATCATTGCAGAAACAATATATATTTATCAATGAAGGGCAAGTTGGACTTGAATAACCTCTGGAAAGTTGTTTTCTGTGTTAACTTTGTCCAAATATTAAGACTTGAAAGTGAAAGTACATTGCAAATGGCGGATTCTATAGGGTCCTGTCTTTATAAATGGCATGCTTTCAATAACTGTCTTTCAGATAACATTCACATCCAACTTGCCCTTCATTGATAAATAGAGAATATTACATACTAAAATCCATATCATATGTCACATCAGCCCGAGTGGTCCCATATCAGCCCGAGGGCCGAAGGCCCGAGGGCTGATATGGGGCCCGAGGGCTGATGTGACATATGATATGGATTTTAGTATGTAGTATTCTATTTATCATATATTTAAAATACTTTAATGTGCGAGTTCATGTATTGTCATTGAAGAATGTTTCGTGCTTGTTTATGACATTTTTGTTTAAAATCTAAAAGAGCCAATTTTCGGTAACTGGAAAAAAATAAGACCACAGATGTCATTAAAGAAATATTTTACATGATTATTTAAGTAAAATCTAGTAAATTAACGTTTGAACTTAATACAAGCGTTACTTCCGGTTTGATATGGATTTTCGGCCCGCCGGTCCGATACGTGATATGGATTTTCGGACCGGGCCGTGATATGGGGTATTGTGACGTCACCCGTATCACACCGTGCAGAATCGGTGTATTTACTACTAAGTATATGATAAACATGCATATATTATTTCTGCAATGATGGTTTTCACAAAGGAAAGAAGGTGCAATTTACTTAAAATATGCACATTTTTAAATACAATTTTTCTCAAAAACTATCTTTTTTTATTTAAAATATTTGTTTTCAAGTGATACTTTATATCTATTAATTAATGATGTATTTATAAACTGTTAAAGGTTTAACTTCACATAGTTTTGGAGCAATTGGAAAAATAAATTTTTAGACATGTTGACCTTTGACGAAACCGTAAGGGAATTCCCCGGTATTTCCCGCGTTCAAGAAGCACACGGCGATTATATAACCGGTCGACCGGGGATGCCCACTCCTCCATGCCACCTGATATCCCAACTCTGACGATTTAGATGCCCGTGTTTACTTTGCTCCTATTTCGTATTTCTTTAATGGACCTTTGAGCTTGGATAATGTTCGGTATCTCATATTCACTTTCATATATCGGTATCTTAAAACCATCTCAACCAATCAGATATGAGTTCTCTGAACCGATTTTGATTTTTATCAATGTTACATTAATTAACATACAAGTAATGTTTTGATATAAAGATGCCGTTAGTCCTAAGGTTCCCTTCTTGTATATGAAAGCACTAGTTTGATGGGTTGAACAATACGAGTGATCATTAATATCCACAACACATCCGCATAGCGCGATACATCATTTACAACAGGATTCCATATTTATTGTCCCCCGCTTTCGCGAAAGCGAGGGGACACTAAATCTCATTCGTCTGTCCGTCTGTCAGTCTGTCCGTCTGTCAGTCTGTCCGTCACAAAAACTTTAACCTTGCCCATAACTTTTGATTTAGTAGAGCTATGACTTTCATATTTCACTTGTATATTCCTTGTGACAAGACCTTTCTTTGGGTACCACCAAATTTAACCTTTTGACCTTGACCTTGGAGTTTGACCCACTTTTACACAGAAATTTCAAACTTTTACTTTGGCCATAACTTTTGAATGGAAGGTACTAGGACTTTCATATTTCACAAATGTATTGTTTGTGGCAAGACCTTTCATTGGATACCAACAATCTTGACCTTTTGACCTTGACCTTGGAGATTTACGTACTTATGAAAAAACGTTAACCTTGACCATAAGTTTTGAACGGTCAGGACTAAGGCTTTCGTTCTTCACATAAGTAATCCTTGTGAGAAGACCTTTTATTGGATACCAAGAACTTTTACCCTTTGACCTTGACCTTGGAGATTTAACTACTTTTTAAAAACTTTAACCTTGGTCACAACTTTTAAACAGTAGATACTAGGACTTTTATATTTCACATATGTATTCCTTGTTGCAAAACATTTCATTGGATACCAACAACCTTGATCTTTTGACCTTGACCTTGGAGATTTATATACTTGTGAAAAAACTTTAACCTTGACCATAACTTTTAAACGGTGAGGGCTAGGGCTTTCGTACTTCACCTATGTAATCTTTTTGAGAAGATCTTTCATTGAATACCAAGAACTTTTACCCTTGGACCTTGACCTTGGAGTTTTAACTACTTTAAAAAAAACTTTAACTTTGGTCACAACTTTTGAAGGGTAGATACTAGGACTTATATTTCACATATGCATTCCTTGTTGCAAGACATTTTATTGGATATCAACAACTTTGACCTTTTGACCTTGACCTTAAAGATTTACGTACTTATGTGAAAACTTTAACCTTGACCACAACTTTTGAACCTTAAGGGCTAGGACTTTCATACTTCACATATGTAATCCTTGTGAGAAAACCTTTCATCAACAACTTTGACCCTTTGATCTTGACCTTGGAGTTGACCTACCGGTACTTTTAAAAAACATTAACTTTGGCCGTAACTTTTTAACGGTCAGGAAAAGGGTTTTCATCCTTCAATGATAATTTCTATGAAATGACATATGATAGGATGTTCATATTAGACACAATATGTCATAAAAAATAACATCTCACCAACAAACACACCGAAAGCGGGGGACCACAATTCTTTGAATTTGCTTGTTACCTTTCATTCATATTATAAAAAGAAATATGAGTAGACAAAGAATGCTTTCATGGGGAAAATATAAAAGTAAACCAAGTCTAATTCAGTCATAGTATTTTCATTTAAGCAATTTTCCCTAAAAAATAACTTATCTCACACTATATGCTTTTAGGGTAAATCTAACCTCCGTCAATATTTAACAATTAATTTTAGCTCCACTGCTCAACGAACAGAAGAGCTTATGAGATAGTAATGTGCCCGACTGTCCGTCCGTCTAGCTGTCTGTCAGTCTGTAAACAATTTTTAAAAAAATGCTACTCCTCGGACTCCCCCAGTTTTGGTCCGATTTTAATATAAATTGGCACACAAGTAGATTACACTAAAGTACAAAATTCTCTTTAATTGTCGGTTTTTGATTTCAATGAATGATATTGCCATGGTTACTAAAACAGACATTTCTATGAGATGTTTTTCAAAATGCTACTCCTCCTAAAGTTTTGGTCTGATGTAAATATAGCTTGGCACACAAGTAAAGTCTACTAAGATACATGTATATAATTCTGTGTATCAGTTTTTGATTTCGATGAACGGTGTTGCCATGGTTACAAAAAATAGAAATTTCTTTGAAATATTTTCAAAAAGAAGATACATAATTCTCTTTATTCGGTTTTTGATTTCGATGAATGGTGTTGCCATGGTTAACAAAAATAGAAATTTCTTTAAAATATTTTTAAAATGCTTCTCCTCCTAAAGTTTTAGCCTGATTTTAATAAATTTTCAATGACAAGAAAATGACTAAACCAATTATCATTTATTTATTTTTGTTTTATTTATAGTCGATGCAAAGTTTACAATTCAAAGCTTAAGGCTACTTTTCTTTTTCTTCGTTATAATTATAAACCAGTAGAGCTACAGACTCG